TGCATCACGATCTTCGTAACTTCACAGTTGGTCAAAGCATACTTCAATCTATTTCGTAAAAATATAACCAAAGGAAGCGATTCTCTAAGCTTGTGWGGTCCAGTGGATGGACGAGGTGCATAAACACCTCCCAATTTGTCCAACATCCATGCTTTAGGTGCATTGAGACGCTTTAAATGCTTCTTAGGACCGCGAGCCTAAATAAAAATAAAATAAAACATTTAATAAGAAATGTCAATAACAAAAACGTGTATAATGTGTTAACGAAAATATATAAAGTAAAAATTTTATCGATCAATGAATTTCTTTACTAAGGTTATAATAAAAATGTGTACTTTCTACAACAGTAAATAATTATTATTTATAAATATTTCGTTACATGGTAGCAATCCAATCATTTAAAATTGAATATAAAAGAAAGAATACCTTGTGCAATAGAAAATTGTAATCTTTAATGTAAAAAGAGAAACAGCACGCCTTACAGAATAATGTTTTTCAAATTCTTTCGACACAATTTACTATATATTTAAAATTTATCAATTCCAATGACCAATAGTTAATTCACAATACTTTTCATGTTAAAATTTTTGATTATTTTGCACTATAAATTCGATGCAAGCAGATACCAAATAGATAACGTAAAGCTAACTTACCATCTTGGTATTCTTAACCAAAAAGGCACGGGTAGTTCGATTTCTCGATGAACTGCATGCAAGTGGCGACAATCGATACTCGATTTTCCACATTCGATTCTCGTATCTATCGATTCTTTCATTTATCGATTGTTTTTATTTATATTTGTTTCTATTATTTCAAAATTATGAAATGGTTTTTCATAATGTGTAAAGATCATTAATTTTATTATAATTTATTTATATATATATATATATATATGTATACAATATGTTTGAGACAGAATATATATTAAATATAAAATAAATTTTTTTATTTACTATTTGTCATCTTAATTTCATTAGCAATGCTGTCCAATACACTAGATGCACCAATTCTAAATAATTTTTTATCTAACCATGAGTCACCCAATTCTTTATTAACTAATGTCATCCATTCTAAGATATCTAATGCTGTCTTAATACCACCAGCTGGTTTAAATCCAACCTATATATTTTAATACGAACAAATAATAAAATTATACAATCATATCGTTGGAGAGTATAAATATTTCATTAGATGATCAGTCTGCTTACCTTTCTTCCTGTTTGTGCATAGTAGTCTTTTATAGCTTTACACATAACTATACCAAAAGGTAACGTGGCATTAATAGTTTCCTTTCCAGTAGATGTTTTAATAAAATCACTTCCAGCCATCATAGCTACCATTGATGCTTTATATACATTATAATAATCAGATAGTTCTCCTGCAGCAAGTATTGTTTTCATGCATTTGGAATCACATGCTTTGCGCATTGATGTTAATTCATAATATAGTTGTTTCCATTTTTGTTCCAAAGCCAATGGTCGATTAATTACAATGTCTATTTCATTAGCTCCGGTATGCACTGAATAATGGATTTCTTCAAGACGTGTTTGTAGAGGATATTGACCAGAGGGAAAGCCTGCGGCTACTACTTACAAATGTAATTATTAGATAATAATGGTTTTTTTTTAATAGAATTATATGATATTATAAATAGGATAAAATTACCGGTAGCTACAGAAATGTTATGCTTTGTTTCAACATTATGTAATGTATATAAAGCATCTTGTATTCTTAATGGATAAACACATACAGCTGCTGTATGTAGTAGTCCATCCCAATCATATTTCACTTCACTGATAGGATTTAAAGCCTACAAAGATAATACAATACATAAATAATTCATATTTGTATAAGAACATATATTACAACTTACTTTCTTGCATAAATTTTTAATAGTAGCACTTGTGTCATTGCCTCCCAAGGAAGTTAAATCAATAAAAGTAATTGCTTTAAGTAATGTACCAATTTTATTAGTTCCATTTAGAGACTTTGCTGCTTCTTTTATTTCGTTTTCTTTTTTTTTAATCTCCAACTCATCGATAAAAGTATCTAATAGATCTACCCACCAAAAAGAGATAATGAAATATTGAGAAAATATTTAAATATTGAACCTATTTAATTATTTACCAGAATAATATGCATCCTTTTCCATATTTTTGGATATTTTTATAATCGTTTAAACTAAGACGTTTATCAAATTTGTAAAATTTAGAAAATGAAATCTATGTATCGATATTTCTCACTATCTATTCTAATTATTCATATACTCTAAATATTTATCGACCTCATTATCAATACATACATACATATTAATATTATCTGCTGTTACTAACATTTGAAAAAACAATTCATGGTACTTGAATATTATAATTTAAAATAAACATAAAAAGTAATAAATGTTTTCGGTTAGGATAGTACATATACGAATAAAAGATAAATCATATCAATTGGTAAAAATGAAGGTTTATCTCCCTTCATATTATAAGTTGCAATTTCTTTTGTTTCTTTACTTCAGGTTTATTGTTAATATTGAAAAAAATATAAAAATAATTTATTATTTAAAAGTTAATATAAAATAATGTAGATTAAAATTTTCTTTGCATAAGTTTTTCCCGCCAATTTGTCTTTATCTTCAATAATGATGTCAAATGAAGGTATTATGAAGCCAAACAATGACAGAATTTTATCGAGTTCAATGCATGTGCATTTATGTATAAATTATCTATCCTTTTATAATTTATACTAACTATTTCCATAATATTTACGTTTCATGTTTTAATACGTTTTAATTAACCAATAACAGTTGTCCGTTTGGTGTAATAATACTATACCAATGAAAGAACTACTTTAGGTTCGACAATCACTGACAAGGTCATGACAGAAGGCGGGTGGCTTGTCAAAATAAGGTCATTACGATCATAGGTAAGTAACCAAATATTTGTTGCGTATTATTTTAATAAAATAGTAAATATTAACTTTATTTATTATATTAAATAATTAAACAGAAATAAAGACGTCTGAGAATTTCGATTAAAAATCTGTTCATCTAAATATAATGGTCGATAAAAAAATAAAATTAAATCACTTAAACATTCTTTTTAACAATCATTGTAACGTTCAACTACACACATATATTTATATACATAAATATATAATTATAAAATAAAAATAAATAATACATAAATAAATTAGTAAAAATCTACTTGAACTTTCAGTTAATTATAACGTTAAAAAAATTTCTGTAAAACAGGTACCATTAAGTAATTCAATACAAAGTACAATATATTAATAATTTAAACTGTAGTTAGTTTAAACGAAATACTAACAAATATACTACCAAACTAATTTGTACTAAAGCAATACTATCATTATCTATGTTGTTCCCATCGTTCCCAATATTGAGTTGTTTGCATTTCAGCTAATCGGGATATAGTACGATCAAAGGCGAAAAGTTCTTCTTCACCAGTAAAAATATTAGACTTATGATCGGCCTAAAAACATTTATTATTATTGTAAAGCCTCTTCTATCTTATCGAATATTTTACACTTACGGAATCGTGCGAGATCTTTAAATCGTCCATTAACATTCGTTTTTCATCTGTATATTCGCTATCGCCTTCTGGTAAAAATAATTGTGTATGTGGTACTGAGGCAGATATTACAACTCTTACCTATAATTAATTAGTATATTTTTTTATGCTAATTTATCATAGCAAAACATTAGCTATTAAAATCATTTAAAATTACCTTGCTATCATACAAGGTATCAATCAGAGTAATAAATCTTCTTGCTTGAGATTTTAATCGAAGATTTAGTTGCGGAACATCTCTTATTATTATCGTATGAAAAGCTTGACTTAGTTCCAAGTAATCACTAGCACCAAGAGGCTAAAAAAATATATTAGTCAAAAATGATGCATATTTATTTAAATAAAAGTATGATATGTTTACCCTATCGCATAATTCATCAAACGTTGAGTCTAGAACTCTACCACAAGTTCTTTGAAACTTTACATTACGACCTTTTATAGAAATCGTACGTGTTCTCACAATGTCGTTTTCCTTTGAGCATAGATATTTGAAAACATTGTCCACATCTTTTACCACGTCTTTCCCTTTTCTTTAATAAATTAATAATTGTCTATTAATTATTCGTAGTATTTGAAATTGCGTGATATTTGTTAACTTACATAAAATATATTTTGTTATCTCCAGATCCAGCCTTCAACCTGTAATCGACACCGGAATCTAACGATTCAACTAAGCAGTGGTCTTTTAAGACTTTAATAAAAGGTACAAAATTTCCTCTTTGTAATCCATTCTTGTACAAGTCGTCAGGTGATCTATTGCTTGTGGCAACGACAATCACACCATTATTGAATAATTCAGTAAATAATCGTTTTAATATCATTGCATCTGCAATATCTGTCACCTGAAATATATTGTATAAGAAAATATACAAAACAAGCATATATTTTCATTCAATAAAAAATATTATCGAATTGAAACCTGAAATTCATCAAAACATAGTAACCAAGCTTCTTCTGTAATAGCAGCTGCTACTGGTGGTATCGGATCAAACGGTTGAAGTTTAGTACTATTAGTATCTCTCACTATAGTCTTCTTAACCTCGTGAACTTTTTTGTGAACATCAAGCATGAAGGAATGAAAATGTACTCGTTTCTTATTTTCAATCTAGAGTAACATAATCAATGGTAGTAATAATATTACTTGATATTAAAGCAAAGTTTAATTTTATTCCGTATTGCATATGGAAAGCCATTATACCTTAACATCGCTTATATAATTGTCTTTATAATATATTCCATTGGCTGTACAAGCTATATTTCCTGTGCAGTTTGTCCTTTATACTACAGAATAACACTGAAAAAATATCATACCTTATCGTAAGATTCTCGAACATATTTTGGCTCCCCATATGCATTACTTACTTAGAACCTAACTTAAGATACCTGACAACAATTATAAAAAAGATCCATTAACATGGTTTTACCACCGCCGACAGCACCATAAATATACAATCCTTTAGGTGTTTCCTTTTTTCTCCATCCAAACCATTTTCCTAATACATTAAATTGATCTGGTTTATATTCATGAACTTCATCATATATTCTCTGTAAGCTTTTAACTACTTTTAACTGATGATCATCGTTCATTAATTCTTTTTTAGTTACTTTTTCTTTCAAAGCTCTGATAGGGCCATTAGCAACGTTTAATTTAATATCATGAACATATCCACAACACTGAAAGGAAAAAACAGGTTGTGATCGTTGGAGTAAATGTGAAATGTTAATTAAACCAAAATTTTGTTTCACGAAAAGGCTAGTCATTGCGGTTGATAATTATTCTGAAAGAAAAAAATATATTATAAATTTGTGCAGGTAAAAAAAAACTTCTTGCAAATATTCTATTCACTTTTTTATAATAGTTCTCTTAAAAAGAAATATATTCGATGTGGTTGTGTGTCTCATTCAGCATTACAGAGATATATCTCTCTCAAGAGAAATATGAATTGCACATGCTCAGTAAAATAGTGAACAGAATGTATAAATAAATTAGTCAGGAAATAAAAAAGGATTTTCCTTATCCAATTTATTCAATGAAATATACATAAATACACGTATATGATCGTAGAAAATATGTCAAAGTTAAAAAATAATTAACACAACGTATTTATTAATATCGTTGCACTAAATAAATGAAACAGTTAACTTTGTGAACGCGATCAATATGGAAACGTAGCACATCTCGGACAATAAACACATGTTAAAAGATATATTATATCATACCAAAATATAGATAACCGAAAAAAAATCGTATAAGATAATAAGTAATGAATAAAGTTTCTTGTTTTCTACACGTAGATTTATAAGTCAGGTGATTTACGTCACGACAATTATCAAATATTATGCGCTCTCTTATCTAACTCGACGCGTTAGTTTCACTGTCGACGATGTCTCTTCGGCTTTTTTTATAGCACATGCATACACCTCTTATTACTCATTCTTGAAAGTATAGGAAATATATTTTGAAATTTTTATCTCTTGCATGGTACCAGTATGACGTAATAGAGGTTAAAAAAAAATGAAGATGTTTAAAACGATGACGTTTGTTCACGTCCTATTGCATCCACGAGTAGAAGTATATATCACTTACTTGCACGTTGAAAAAGGAAGTGCATGGTCATCATCCTTCAAGTCAATGTCATTTCCTGTTACCGTATTTAGATACATCGTTTTTTGACTTGTTTTTAAAAAATATATATATGTTTATTAATAATTTTTGTACCTGCATAGATAATCAAGTTTTTGTCATTAATCGTTAAAAGAGAACAACAAATCTGAAAAAAATTAAGTAATTAAATAAAGATTTATGTGTGTTAAAATACGATGGACTAAATCCGTGTGATATAGATAGAAAGACAAGTAGCTGGCGTCCACCCAATCGTAACCTCGTCACTTATACGAACTTATTATTATTTTAGTAAAAAATCAATATTAATACAATATTTACAAAATAATATTTATCCAAGATTTAACAATATCCCTTAGTATAATATGTTAATTTTAATAAAAATGAAGTATTTCTAATAAAATAATATTTCTTTAGAATAACCATTTAAATCCCAGTGATCACGCTATTCAAATTTCTTATTGAAAAGAGTCACGTTATTAAAACGTAATAAACAATTGATACATTATTGCCTCGCTTAGTATTTATCTACATGATATTTTAAAAACTTCTGGAATTTAAATGGTTAAGAAACTATAGTTTTAGTCATTATGATAAAGCTTTGGATTGTACGTCGAAGTATAGGTGTTCATTCTTCGTTTGTCTAAACTACTTCCTTCTCTAGTAGCATAGTAACGCCTTTCAATGACTTTGTCAAAAAATCTGCTGAGTTTTACAGACGAACTAGAACCAGCAGCTAATGCTCTTACTTGGCAACAGTCCTATTAATAGAATATCTTTTTAGTTAGAAATATTAAAATATGTGAAACATCAACATACCAAAAATATTTCATCAGCTCCACATTCTTCAGCAATAGTCGAAGTACGTCTCTGCATGTTTGATCTTACTTCCGATACTAAATCTAATTTTGTACCAATAACTAATATCGGTATCTGAAATTAATATTCAATTATATTGATATCAATTAAAAATATACTTAAGCGTTGTTTCAATTCCATATTTACTTGAGTCGATCCTACAAACTTTTCAGGATCAAAATCATCAAACAATTTTGATTTAGAATAATTTCCGTCTTTGCACAATGCCTCTTGCAACCATTTCTGTAAATTTTGTTGCGATTTACGGTTTGTTAAATCATGGACCAATATTATACCTACCAAAGAAATTTAAAAATTTGATAAGCATTGAAAATAAATATTCATGTAGCATAGAACATGTTTGTTATTCATCCCCTACCATTTGTAGGATTGTAAAAAACAGATCTTGTATTTTTATGATTTTGACTTCCACCTATATCCCACAGTTCAATAAAATATCTTCTTTGATTAGGTGTGCCTTCCTTGTATTCATGCAATTTCACTTCAACAGAACAACCTATCGTCCAGGAAGGATTACTGATCGGTTGTTGATGGCATATGAGATGAGTCAACGATGTTTTACCAACACCTGCATAGAAAACTGATTTATAGAAAGATATTATAGCATTTATTAAACTAAAATAAGCAATAATAAAATGAATATACTTATTTAATTGTAAAATATACAACCAGAATATTGCAAATTATACTTTGTATAAGAAAGTACATTTGTTAAAAGTACTATTACATTTTTTATGTTTACTATACTGAATTAATAAAAGTAAATACTGTCCAGATTATTCGATTTACGTACCAGAATCACCAACTACAATAATTTTAACTTTATCTATTGCTGCCATTAATAGTTTATAACAATTACTATTTATTACAGGTTACTTTATAATAAATATATTACTGTCATTTAATTCGATAGATGGCATTGATAGTACGATACAGATGGTAACAAACTACAAGCTCTTTAAACGACACACAACAAGTCTCACGTTAAGTGGTGTTACACGATAGTTTGTTTTTTGTATAATTATAATTATGATTCACAAGATTGTTTTATTATATTTATTTATATTTGTAGTTGAAAATATCTCATTTTCTATTTAATTATATTGCAATTATAAATGCATTGTACGATATAATTATTGAATATCTAAATAATTTTAGAGGTTAGAGCAAAATATCAATTTGATTTAGAGAGAGATTGTGATTTTAAAATATTAAATAAAATTAATTCATGTATATTTTGATAATAGAAATGATTTTATTTACAGTTTATGATTTTATTTTTGCTTGCAGTCTTATTAAAAAATAATATTTTATTGACGGAATAATTGTATGTACCAATTTTAGTTTTATATATTATTGCTATATGGTCATATATAATAAAGAAATAAAATGAGCGGAGAAGAAAAAGTTGTTACAGAAGTTCCAAGTAGTTTAAAGCAACTAGCTCGTCTCGTTGTACGTGGCTTTTATACTATAGAAGATGCTTTGATTGTGGACATGTTAGTAAGAAATCCATGTAAGTATTTTCTGGGTCAGTACATTGACAATAATATTTTGTCTATTTTAAAAATTTACTGTATTTTTTAAGATAGTTTGATATTCCTAATCAAGCTCAATTCAAACAGGTATGAAAGAGGATGATATTTGTGAACTGTTAAAATTTGAACGTAAAATGTTAAGGGCAAGAATATCTACTTTACGCAATGATAAATTTATACAAGTTAGATTAAAAATGGAAACCGGATTTGATGGGAAAGCTCAGAAAGTCAATTACTATTTTATCAATTATAAAGTAAGTAAATAAAACATATGATAAGAAAACGTAGTCTCTATAATTAGTAACATTAGTAACATTGTTATATATAGTTTGCAAATGTAAATACATAAATTGTTAAATGATTTCAGACATTTGTTAACGTGGTCAAATATAAGTTGGATTTAATGAGAAAAAGAATGGAAACTGAGGAACGAGATGCAACTAGTAGAGCTAGTTTCAAATGTACAAATTGTTTAAAAACGTTTACGGATCTCGAAGTAAGTTAAATTAATGTGATGGAAGGTTTGATTGTTGTAAATAAAAATATTTTTATTGATTTAGGCTGATCAATTGTTCGACATGTCGACTGGCGAATTTAGATGTACATTTTGTCGAGAAGTAGTAGAAGAGGATCAATCTGCTCTACCAAAAAAAGATTCTAGATTATTATTAGCCAAATTTAACGAACAGTTGGAACCTTTGTATATTTTATTGAGGGCAGTAGAAGGTATCAAATTGGCACCTGAGATATTAGAACCCGAGCCAGTGGATATTAATACTATTCGAGGGTATGTATTAAACATTGGACGATATATCTGTACGTTTATATTTTCTATCATTAATTTATTTTCTACAGTATCGATACAAGGAAACCAAGCAACCTTAGAGCACCTAATGAACAATGGTCTGGTGAAGCTACAAGAACGTCTGGTTTTATGGTAGAAGATACAAGGGTTGATGTTACCATTGGAGACGAATCTTCCGAAGATAACGCAGCAAATCGTAGAAAAGAAAGACCTATTTGGATGATGGAAAGTACTGTTATTAATGCCGATGGTTCTCAAGCCGATGGAATAAATACACAAGAAACAATTTTGGATAAAGCAGCTGCCACTGCCACAAATATTATTACTACAAATACCAAGCAAGGCGAAGATATTATGTCAGTTTTATTAGCACATGAAAAGAAAGGTGGGACCAATTCTACAACATCTGCTATTAAAGCAGTATTACCTCAAGAATCCAGCGATAGTAGCGATAATGAAGAAATTAATGATATGCAAACTATGGATACAGGTATGTAGTGTATACATAGCAAAGCAGTATATTATATTATCTACAATTTAGCAATATATATTAAAACATTTATTAATATTATTTAGGTGAAGTAGAAACTATGGATTCTGATGATGACGATTTAGTACCGACAGTTAGTGTGGCTGGAAAAAGTGTTGCTATCACAGATGTTAATGATACACTAATAGCAGAGATGACACCTACGGAAAAAGAAGCTTATATTCAAGTTTATCAGGAATATTATTCTCATATGTATGACTAAGTCAAGATTAGTCTAAATCATTGAATTTATACATAATGAAAGACTGCTATATTTGACATTTAATCTGTAATATTTTGTACAGTCCCTTGAAAAAATAAGCTATTTCAAGAATTGTTAAAACGGAAGGTTATATATATATATATATATATGTATGTATAATAAGTAACACAATTTTTTTAGAAATAAAATTATATTCATGTGACATAATCGTAAATACATATGCAGTAAAACATCAATTATATATTTATTCTTAATGATAATATTATGATTATGATAAAAGACGAGTAAGACTGTCAGCAATTGTTAAGTCCAAATTTTTGAATATACCTTTCTCTAGCTTCTTTGATCATTTGTGCTTTCCTTTCTTGGAATGAAGAAGTACCAAGGCAACTGTTATCTTTTGTTACGTTTGTTTGCGTTTTGCTTGCTGAAGCCACAGATGTAGCAGTTTGAGAATTAGGTTCGGGAGTATAAGCAACTACGCCATCAAGAATATTGGCAATAGTGACATCAACATTTCTGGTTTTTACTAAAACAATATTATTTCATAAGTTATTAATGAATATTAATTAAAAATAAACAGGCGTATATATAGAGAAAGAGAGAATTTACTTACAAAGATCACGTAATATCACATTATGTGGAACGAATGGAAGCACTTCATTGACCTGCCTTGCCATTGCTTGCATTTGTAAATTACGAAAAACTTGTATATTTGACGATTCTCTTGCAGGAAGTATTCTGGTATGCTCTTTTTCCATGATGCAACGCTTTTCAAATTCTGTTTTATCCGATATAGTATGAGAACTTGGAGTAAGTCCTAAAGCATTAGCTATATCATATTCTACTTGTCTCGCTAACAATTTATGATCCGTATTTCTTTTAATTTTCAGGTACTTCAAGATAAAAACTGTATAGGGGACGAACATAAACCAAAAAACATCCGTCCACCATGTAGACGCTAGCGATGTAATATGTACGGGTGTTATCGCTGGTCTTGTCACCTTAATAGCAACAGGTTGAACGGAAGTTTCTATAATAAAGGGCCATGAATTGAATTGCAATAATGCAACGCGGCTGTTAGTCGTACCAAATTCAGGCTGGATTACAATATTGCAGTGAGTAGTTGAAAGAAATTGTCTTATATTAGTGATTAAAGATCCCGTATTACTCATATTCATTTCTTGTAATCCCAATGCATGACTCAAGGCATTAGGTATTTCCCATGCACTAGGCATCAATGTTTGCATCGCTCGATGTAAAGCAAAATGATCCAAAACTGATACATTATTAGCTATTATAATCCTCGATTGTTTGTCCCTAGACTCTCCTTCTGGATCAACTTTTACAATAATGCCAAACACAAAACTAAGACAGTGATGTAAATATGTACGAAGTATGTTGCAATCTGGTAGTAACGACGCAAGGAACCAAAGATGCAGGCTAACCAAGAGTCTTACTAATACAAGAATTACACCCACTGGTACATATAATATTAAGGATAGACGGTTCCAGCCACTGGAAAACCTATAGAATATACAAATTTATTAATTCATTACAGAAAATCTATTATCGTTTAACATTAATTAAATTTATATAAGAAAGTTCATTTTGATTTATCTTTTGATTTTAAACAATTAGAAATATCAATATTTTAAATAAATGAATATAAGTCATGTTATTTGGTAGGTTAGTCGCATGTTAAAGTACAACAGAAGGTATTTTCAAAACTCATTGATAATGTATAGTATAAAATATATCCGTTACAGAATTATATTTATATCGTTATATTTTATTCCAAAAAAGCAATTATCATTAATTAGAAGTAGTAGAGTAACAGGGACAACGTAACGTGGATAAACAGCTGGTCATCTCACCTGCTTGTATCAAATAGATCCTGGATATCAATTTGTGACATTTCTCTCAACAAACATCTGTTATATCAGAAAACTCACACTTTAATAATTCTATATTGGTCGATAAGTAAATTTTATGTAAATTATTGCTGCTACAATATTGTGTATCTCGAATGACCTTTTTTTAACCTACTTTTTAATAGTCTTCCAATTATAATATAGATTTTCTTTTTTTTCTTACTACTCTCAGTGATCAGCTGTTTTATACGTTACACAGCATGTAGCCCACACTGATTCTAGTGTTTTTTCTTAGCGCAATTCAATGAAATCACTGCCATAATGTTATTTCCATTTTTACTAGAAAACTAAATTGTGATTGAATAATTACAGTACTTCTGTTGGCCAATACTAATCCTTCTGTATTACGAAAAAGAAAAGAAATTTTAATTTACAACCAATGGTTACGCTTGCAATATTAACCCTTTCGTTAAGACATGCTTTTGCGCAAGTATCGTTTCATATAAATTCGCTCGTACATTCCTAACGTCACATGGTACGACCCTAATATGGGTCGCTAGTAACAAAAAGTTTAAACACTATTTTTTAAGTACAATTTAAAAAAAATTGGCTTTCTTTTATCGTGTGTTAAACAATTTTATTTATTTACAATATTTAAATTAATTAAATATAATAAGTGAGAATAATATCAGAAAATTAATTTTTAAAGGTATGGACAAATTAAATAAAAAATAAAAATCGCTATTCTCGTTTGATCAAAACAATATGAGTTTAAGAAATAATAAAATTAGAGCAAGTAGGATAGGAGAGAAAAAATATTGGAAGATAGAAGAAATTTGATTAATATATTAGAATTATGTTACATTAAAATATTCAATTTTCTTCTCGTTCCATACAATGATTTCAATGATTTTTATTTTTTCAGCTATTGAACAAATTTGTATAGGCTGCAAATATATTCCTATAATCCTCTTGACTGTTATCCTTTCGTATATTTTGGAAAGAGAAATCAGATGATTTTTTACGAAAATCTTTGGTGATACCCAAATGATTCAGATCTATTTTATTTTTACTTTTCTGACTTTCATGTAGTAATGCCTTGTCAAATACAAATGTCGATTTGATGAAATTTAAAGCTTCTTGGTCGTTCTCGTGTAATATTAAATTGTCGAACTTGTTAATATTGTGCATGAATAAATGAAAGGAATCTTCTATGTCGGAAATTCGTATAATAAAATCTGGATCACGTGTCGCCAAATATCGTAAAAATGTTATCCCTTCTCTCATTGTATTTAATTGTTTCTTATTTATATTAGTCCAATAATTCTGGTCCAATAGATCATTTGGATTCATTTGCTTCATATATTCTTTTATACCATATTTCTTTAATTGAGTACTATGTATATATTGTTTATTGAATTTTTCCATGAAATCGTTACTTGTATTCAGAACAAAAAAGTCGTCGTTGAATGTACATTGCTTGTACTGAAATTGTACGTTATTTAAAGACATTGTTGAGCATCGACATAACATTTTGATGACAAATCTTAAAAGTTTCATACAACAGTCACAAGATTTAGGATTACCATTTTTTATAAGAAGAACATTCATGTGTAATGCAACTTTAATAAATAATAATAATGAATGCGTCATTTTAATGGTAGTTACAAGATCAAAATGAAAATTTTCAACTTGTATTATAAATATTCGCAAGAGACAAGCATCTGGCGTAAAGTGTGGAACACCTTTCCAGATTTTTACTGAAGTATGTGTATCCTTGCAAATCTTGTTAGCAAATGTTGAATGTTTGATAAAAGTCATCATCACTTTAGTTATTGGAATATAGCAAAGAGATAGAGGTCTTGAGAATACCAACTCTTTGAATATTTCAAAAATGAAATCTATTCCTTTCTCGCAATATCCTATTGTTTTCTCTACGTTACATAAGAGATCTGCAATCGCACTTATAAGGCCACTAAATTGATGAGATCTTCTTACTTGTCCTATTAAAATTACAAGTTGTAAAATCATCTCCAACATTTCAAACTTTTTATCTTTTTTATCCCAAGAATTATAACGTATCATATATTGTGAATATTCCTTGTAAGATTTATCTTTGTCCACAAATAATGATGTTTTTCCTGCTACATATTTACTAAGATATAACGATTCGGATGCAATATATGATAAAATACCCAAAATCCTTCTAGCTTCTATTCCACGTTCATTTTCGTGCCATGTATTTGCATCGCACACAGATTTGGTATAATAAATTGGCATTTTGTAAAGATCAGAAAAATATACATCATTCATATCTCTAATGTCATCATTTTTCATAGCTTCCAAAATAGTTTGCAGAACAACTATCATATTTATGATCAATTCCCTTGAAGTTGATACTAGCTTATTGATAATAGGTATACAGGTATCAGAATTTAATTCTGTGCTTACCTTATTTTTGATTAAAGCAATGTCAGGCAAGACAAATTCTAAAGATAATTTTTTACCATTTATCATAGTGATTATAGGCTTTACCAGATCGGGATTTTCAAAAATTCGAAACGTTCGCTCATCTTGTAAAATGGGTAAATTTTGTTTTCCAGTTTTTTCTGTAACTTTAATTTCAACTACAGATTTTTCTGGTAACGAAGGCTTGAAAATTTCAGCTGGTATTTTTAATAGAGGATAATGAACTACCGATGTCTTTAAATTATTACTCTTTCTATCACAGATATTAGTTTGAACATTAACATCTTTTTTGTCTGTGTACTTAGTAGAAAAGATTGAACGACTCATGGTATCAATTTTATGATCAACATCTGGCGACATCATGCTAGTTGTATGTGGTTCTATGAATTTAATATTTCTAGATTCCAACAACTTACATCGCTCTAAAAGTTTTTCTATCTCAAAAGCTTTTAATTCAAGCTGAGTTTTTAAATCTTCTTTTTCCTTAATTATTTGATCAATTTCTGTTTTATGTTTCTTGGATTGTTCTTCGATCAAATGCATTTTTTCTATTTTATCATTTTCTATACGCATTTGCGTCATTTGTAATTGATTTCGTAAGAAAACTGTTTCTCCATCTTTCATTATGAAGTCGTTTAATAACTTATCTCTTTCCGTCTTTAATTTATTCAATTCTTTTTCTAAATTTTTATCTTTACTATCATTGGATTGTGGACTAATATTTTTATTTACTTGAAATGTCGAGTTATAATTTTGTTTGTAAAGTAATCTCTTTTCGAAATTAGAATAATTGTTGTTTTGTGTAAATGTCAAATCATGTAAAGTAGGATTCTGTGTTTTAGTTGGACAGAAAATTTGTTTACTTGTCGATGGCATGTTCTCTCTTGCAATAAATGAAATCTGTTTTTCTTTAGGGTCAATGAAAACTTTATCATCATTCAAACATGCCTGAGATGCTACAAAATCCATTTCCTCGATTTCCTCTTCAGCAAAATCATCTCCCCATACATCTTCAACACGTACATTTTGTTTATTCGAAGAATCATTTTTTGATTTTGTTCCAAAAAGGAGTGATGATTTTTTAGATCCATCAGATTTGAAACGTTTCGATGGTACCATAGAATAACTGTTATCATCTTTATCAGTTCGTTTAAACATATTTGTTAGATTATTCTAACACATATATCATTATGTACAATATATTATTAGTTTCATTGATACAAAGTATATATACACAATTTATTTTAAAGGAAACTACGCGATAAAATTGTAATGACTGTCATTTACACAGATATGCTTTTATGAATGCATATGTCATACAAGGGAGATAAAACTACGATAAAAAATAAATATATTAAAAAATATATACATTATCACCTATTATAGTATTATCTATAAACATAAATAAATATAAATAAAAGTGTATATTTACAAAAATATATAAACGAAATGTGGACCAATCAAAACGTTGATCGTACAGAATTTGTAAGGTTAAGATTTAACAAATGCATTTATCCAATATGGCGCATATGCATTGGAGACTTTAATCTTTGCCATCGTTCTCAATAATCAACAGATATTCTGTCCAATGACCGTAAGTATTAAAGATACGGCATAAAGAGAAATGTAGTTTACGGACAGGTAGTGATCGTCGTCAATATATGCTGTTCTACCAACAATTTAACTCTATTTCTTCACTTAGTATTTATATCCATGATTTAATTGGGCCAATCATCGATTTAATATAATTAGTATAATACATAAAGATATATAATCGAATGAAATGGTACACGTTGGTACGAAAGTTGCAATGTAACAGCTGTTAACAGAAGTATAACATAAGTTATGACAGATAGTATATTGGGTGTTGCCAAGTCGAATGGATCTACAAACGAAAGGTTTGTTACCAGTTATAATATATCAATGCTATGACTACGGAAATAAATTAAACGATTAAAGAGAATGCAGAAGCAGAAATTAAGGAGTTCCATATTCAATGACTTGTCGTGTGAATGGGTTGTCCAAAAGATTATCTACCAGTTGATAAGGTTAGGACAAACCTGTCAGCCATGAAGACTCCTGTACCTCAACATTTAAATGGGAGTAATGGTCAGTCTGTTGGCTCTGAAAAGACTGGTTCATATTTAATATCACGTTATAATAATCCATCCAATAACTATCATGTTTTAAAAGTAACTGGACGTGATTCCAATTGTTACATTGCCAATAACATTGCTCCTAAAATAGGCAAACAGCAATTAGTATCATTGAACGGTGATTCTGTAAGTTGCAACAGTGTTAACGTAAATGAGGCTTTGGCATGCGATGTAGTTACTATGCCAGCAGTTAAGACTAAAGCTTTATGCGTACACATTCGCGAGAATAAATGGTATGACGCTGGTAATGTAGTTTCTGTCGGAGTGGCAGGAACTAGTCTCAGTCATGCCTTGGAAAGTATGTCTTTGGCTTATAATCCTACTACCAAACAGATATATTCTATGGAAGATAACGATACGCAATATGATTGTAAATCTCAATATCTAGAATCTCCATGTAATGGGAAAGAATTGTCAGCGAGTATAGTGTCTAAGATCGATGGAGATAAATATACAAAACTTGAAAGTGGCAGTGCAAATAGTAGTCCTAGAAACAGTTTACCTCGTTCATGTAGCAGTACAGTGTCTTCCCTTAGTGAAGTATCACCTTCTGGAAGTTTCTTAGGATCAGACGAGCAACACATTGTTGTAGATAAACAAGAAAAATCTAAGCGCTGGGGATTAAACACATTGTTTGCCAAAAATGTATTTTCTTGGAAAAATAAAGGTTCTCAGCAATCTACTCCTACGGGTAGTCCATCAAGAAATATCGATAAAGTAGGAGGAAGTTTAGCTCTAATACAGCAACCAAGACCAGCAAATTTACCTGCAAAGAATGCTTTGGAGGAACAACGTCATCGTAAGCAATATACTGCAATTTTAGAAGCTGCACGTAAGAGAGAGTTACGCGAAGAGAAAGAACGTAAACAACAGAGAGAACAACAGATTAAAGAAGAAGAAAGATTAGCAGAAGATTCCAATACATGGAACATTCATGTTATACCTAAATTTGAAAACGTTAAAGATACAAAAAAAGTACGCGAATTATGGTGGCGTGGTTTGCCACCAAGCGTACGAGGAAGAGTATGGAAATTGGCTATTGAGAATAGATTAAACATAACACCACATTTGTATAATCTTTGCTTGGACAGAGCAATGTCTAGTCCTACGAATGAATCGTTAGCTGCGATCAAATTAGATGTATCTCGTACCTTTCCTACCTTATGTGTCTTTCAAGAAGGTGGACCATTATCAGATAGCCTTCAAGGTATTTTGGCAGCCTATGCCGTTTATAGACCAGATGTTGGCTATGTGCAAGGAATGAGTTTTGTGGGTGCTGTATTATCATTAAATATGGAACCCTCGGATGCCTTTGCCTGCTTTGCTAATCTCTTGAACCATCCTTGTCACAGAGCCGCCTTTACCTTGGACCAAAAAAGAATGAATGTGTATTACAAGGTATATTCGAGCGCGCTTGCACATAAGCTGCCAAAAATATTTTCTCATTTCACAGTAGCTGGTCTTAGTCCGGACCTGTACCTGTTAGATTGGTTGTATACTATATATGCCAAAGCAATGCCTCTTGATGTCGCATGCAGGATCTGGGATGTATTCCTAAGAGACGGCGAAGAGTTCCTTTTTAGAACAGCCCTTGGCGTATTACATTTGTATCAAGAAGAATTGTTGAAATTAGACTTTGTACACGGAGCGCAATTTCTTACCAGATTGCCTGAGAACCTCCAGGCAGAAGCTTTGTTTAACAGTATTAGTCAAATGTCTACTACTGTTGGGACTACGACATTCCAACAAATGTTGATACAGTTTTCTTCTGTGTGATTTTCTTTTTAGCTCTATTTAAAAGAGTAGTTTGATTTAAGTTTTACGATTGTACATTGCACAGAAAATTTCTTATTTTCCAGTGAATCCGATGAAGAATAATAGTGCGTGAAAAATCTTAAAGTATATATATATATATATATATATATATATTGTATTTAAATTGTGATGACGTCAAAGTGAGTAATAATGTTGCATGCGGTATGAAAGTAGTAAAAATAAGCATATTATTGTGTGCTTGAATACTTGCAAGAATAATTATCTTATATGTCTCTTTAAAATCTGTATATATATATACATATATATATATATATATATAGGTATATGTATATTGTTTTTTGACGTTCATTTTATCAATGATAGATATTACGGTGTATTTGAATTTCTAAATAGCTAATCAAAATATTTATACAATTTCAAGAATATTTGAAATCTTATTATCATAATAATGTTAAATGTTGGTGCTTCTTATACTAATTCTTTATCCTTGTGTAAGATTAATTTAATATGCAATTGAAATGGCAGTTTCTCAATGAATAGTGAGAGATCTATTCTTGTTTACGATATATATAAATATATATAAATATATATAAATATATATTGACATATAGATAACATATTTTATGAATGCAATGTATCGATAAAATGCGTACATACATTCATAAATAGGAAAATAAATTAGTGAATCTAAGGGGAAGGAGGAAGAAGAGGAGGAGGAGAAATGCATATAAAAATATCTTATGCATCTAAACTGAAGCACACAATTTACAGACTGGAGGAAGTATTATTTTGGGCAATTGAACAAATAATATTCTAGATAAAGAAAATATTATATTATTACTCTACGGTATGAAGAACATATTTTGAAATATTGTCCATAATATCTCAGTGGCAATACATACATACTACTATCTTTTACATATGCATAATAGTTCTTTGTTATGCATATTTCAATATTATTAATATAAGCAAGTATAAATTATATGTGTATAAGTGAAGAAGACAAATGGGTGGGAATATTAACATAATATTCTATAATAATGCTCTGTGGAATATACTACTATTGGTTTTAATGTGCATCATTGATATGAGAAGTTACTGAAAGATTAACGTTTCGTTGATTTTTTATAACTGAATATTTCAATGATTTAAATCCGTCAATTTGTATAATCGTATTTACTCATCTTCCATGTGTTCGTGGATTAACTAGAAGTTTAATTAATAATCTGAAATATCCTCGTACTCTTGATAAACTATAAGTAAGCTATAACGTATCTCTTTCTCTTTTTCTTTCTCACTCTTTCACTCTCTCTCTCTCTCTCTCTCTCTCTCTCTCTCTCTTTCTCTCTCTCTCTCTTTCTCACTTTCACCCTTACTCTCTTTCTCCCATCGAAATATTTTATAGTAATTAATAATTATGGTATAATATTTCACTTAGCACTTTGCTGTACAGATACTGAGTTATGAATACGCAGAGACTTATAATCCCGTCTTTTAAGTGGCCTTTCTAATGGAGATAAGATAAATTCAAGATTTAGGAATCAAAGATCTTTCTATGTAATCATTGAGCTTTATTGGACAAAAGGAATCTCATAAAAATATTTTCTTACAACGTACCTACAATAAGCTTATTGTATGTGCTTGTTGCGTAGGTATATCTTTTTTTTTTGCCGAAATAATATTTTATTAGGTGAGACGAATTTTTCTATTTTCTTTTATATAAATTTTTATTATTATTATTATTTTTTTTTTTTTTTTAATTAATAACACGCCCGAGTTATTTGTGTAGCTTACATCTTATTTTCCTTTTTTTTTTCTTTTTTTTTCGTAATTTTTTCTAGAGACGAAAATAATTGCGATAGATAATATAGATCAATAATCGATCATCCTATATAGTTTTTAATATTAAAAATAATTAAAATCACAAGCACATCGCAATAACTTTATGCATAGCATGGCTTGAAAGCTTCAAGTTATGAAATTCTAATATAATACATACATATATGATAGAAAATTAAATAAGGTAACAACATTCGTATCTATAAGCCCGTATTATTTATTCTGTTCGTTAAAACGATGATAAAAATCATGATTCTTCTATTCCTTTTGACGATAGAATTTTAATCTAACTTTAATCCAGCGAAGTATGGATTATCCATTGAATATGTATTTTAATTTTAATATCGTGTATATATAGGGTGAGATAAAAGTTACTTTCCCGAAATTTGTTCAAATTGGTGTACATTATACTCGATACTGAACTCGTATAATTTAATTACTTATTTAAATATTACGGGGAACACAACCGAGGGTTCGAGTCTAAGTTCTGGAGTGACTGATTGTTCTAACAACTGTTGCAATTGATTCAAATTTAGTGCACGATGATAAAAATAAATATATTTAACAACAATACTGTTGCCATAGTAATCATATAAAAAAGGTATATTAAAATAGCTGTTGGTACGGCTGCAATCGCATATCATTGCATAATCAAATTACTTTCGTGAACGAACCTCTGGGGAAAGTAATTTTGATCTCATCCCGTATATGTATATGTAAATATCGATTAACACGGATAACCATATACGTATATACAATATTTACGCATACCCACATAGAAAGTATATTTTATGAAATGCTCCTTTATCGGCACGCTTCTAAAGAAACTCTTTAAAAAAATACAATTGACGAATAGTGGAAAAAAGTTGATTAGATCGGAACTAAAAGTGCAAGTGCAAGTGGTGGTGGTATCATAGTTTGATGTCCTAGTTTTTACTCGACAATACTTCCATTCCATCCACTATTCCAAAAAATTATTCATTAAACGATCGTGCTAATGAGATTTTATTAATAAGCTCTTTGCTGTAAATACGATTATTACTATGCAACGTATGTATTACGATCGTAGTCATTTTATCGATAAGTACGAAGCACAAATGAAATTCAATATTTTATCGTTTATTCGAAATACGATAGTCACTAACGATTACTATAATCTCGAACGATCTTCAAAGGATCGCGACTACGGTCAAAGTGTATCTCTCGTATGTATGTATATGCGAAAATCTCGCTAATCAATTTAATTGCGATTTGGTATTATCGTTAAAAACGAAATGAAATTTCTCTTTTAAGAAAAGAGACATTACTAATTAATCTAATCTCGATGCTTAGAAAATAAATAAACGTAAATATGCCGTTACGCTAATAATATCCCACGATGATAACGACAACGCAATATATTTCTTCGAATCTACTATGTTGCATATATTATTATATCAACATGTACACACTATACTTAAAAATCCTCGTAATCTCTTCGACTATGTTTAAAAATGGTGCTTCGATGAAGAAAAAAAGAAAAAAGAAAATGAAAAAATAAAAGAAAGAAAGAAGGAAAAAGAAAATGTGCAAAAAAAAAAAATAATACAAAATATCGTATACATGTATTTTTCATCGAATATTATTATTATTATTATTATTATTATTATTATTATTATTATTATTATTATTATTCCATATATATAAATAAATAAAAACGATATAATATTTTTCATTTTTATTTGTCGACGTAACGGAAGATAAGTGAAAATAAAACTGATAAGAGGCATTTAAAAAGTATACATTGCGCGCGCGAAAGTTAGAAAAAAAATGAAAAAAATAAAAAAACCATAAAACTTTCTTTCACAACGTACGTATATGTGTATGTACATATAAATACCAAAGATTATATACTTAACAATATATTTCCGAATAATGTGTATCGAACTTATCTCCTCTATCGATCATTATCCAAGAGATGGCTTTCTAACAGTATACAAGACAAATTTGAGGCATATATTTCATCGACTTTATCGACGCGCTAATAAAATGATAATGATGATGCAACGATCTTTATAAAAAAAAAAAAAAAACAAATAAAAAAAGAAGAAGAAGAAGAAGAAAAAAAAAGAGAAAAAAGTACAGAAACATAACACGTTGATCGGCAATTATGTTTTCCTCGTTCAGTTTGAAATAAAATAGTATTGAATGTTATAAAAGTAAATAAAAAAGATAAAAAAAATAAAAGTAACAGATAACAAGTACGAATTTTGTATTCTTTCAAGCTGACGCGGAGCTCAATGTAACAACACTGTGTAACTTTTTGGATTATTTCGTTAAATGAATTTATTCCATGACAAAAATAATAAACATTATAAAATTAATGTGTATTTTGGCCTTGGGAGTAACGCATTCGTGGCCAGTCAACGTGTTGAGGAAGAAAAAAAAGTCCTGAAAAAGAAAATAATGAATAAAATAAAGGTAGTACGATATCGAACACCATTTTCTGTGTCATGTCGTTGAATATATTAAAACGATATATTTTATCTACTCAATCATCATGGGCATTGTCATTATCACGTAACAAGCAACCATTATTCCTTCATCGAACATAATTAAATATTATAAACAATGTGCCAAGTGTTTTACGAATAAAAATGGACGGTTCTATTGTAAAAGAAGAAAGCAAAGATTTAATAAGAAAGTAAACAAAATCTTTGCGTGCAATTTCTTCGAATTGAAACGAAACGAAACGAAAAGGGGCGTATTGTATTACATACATGGTGCATTATTCTAGTTATTCTCTTTTTTTAACGAACGAATTTACTATTAAAAATTGTCACGTCTGCGAAATCGTAATTATCGATTTATTATTATACGTAAATGAGAGACGTACACGCGTGCTGCGTAAAAGCAAAAAAAAACGACAAAATTCAATAAATAAATTAATAAATAAATATAAAAACGCACGAACACGTGCGATTTAAGAAGCCACGAGTTTAACTGGTCGAGAGTTACTGGTAAACTCGTTCACAAAGAGAGGAGAAGCTCGTAAAATAAAATAATACAAAACTAAACACAAGAACAAAAAAAAAAAAGCTAAATATTTTCTATATCGTTTAGAAATTTCGATTCGAATACATTTTCTAGCTTATCGATTTTTCGTAAGAAACACAACAATTCTACGAGTAGATAAATGAGATCTAATTTCGGATAATAATGCAAATATCTATCTGGATCTCGCGCTATCGATTCGATATTTGAAAAAAAGAAAAGAAAAGAAGTAAAGAAGAAAATAAAGATAGAATCGATAATCTCTATTAGCTAGAATCTCTCTATTTCTGACAAGTGCAAAGTTTCAAATAAAAGGGAAAATGCACTAAACGGCATGCTTAAAAACACTAACAATGACACTTCTGTGTTCCTTGTCGTTAGTGCCTCACAGTAAAAGT